GATGGCCATCCGGACATCCGGCTGGTTACCATGATATGGATGATTGGACAGGAGCGAAAGTCCAGGGAGAAGAGGGAGCTCAGGATGTCTAATGACTTTGAAATCCTTGATCAATGATTATTACTATTATTACTAATTATTAGTGAAATTGTTCTCATTCTGTCCTTCTTCTTTTCTTCTTCTTCTTCATTCTTTTGTCCTTATCTTCTTCTTGTCTTTCAATTTGCGACATTTTGAGTCCATGCGTGAAATCAGTTGACAGGTGAAGCATCAAGCGTAGGGCTCATTGCAGTGTTAGTACCTGGATTGCACTTTTGTCTTTGGGCTGTCACAAGTGGAGGATGCACGTAGCAAGCTGCACTTCTCACGAGGCATGCATGACATGTTGATGTCGTAATTCACCCACTTGTGATCCGTTTTCTTTGCGGGCTTCCGATTCTCTTTTAGCCAAGCCGTCGCCTTTTCGTATCGATAAGTTGCGGACTTGTCAGCGTAGGGCCCCCGCGCAGCTGCTTTTGCTGCCTCTTCTTCGCTCTCCTTGATCGTTGGTGATGGAACGAACCATCGTTTCCTTGCCTTCCATGGGGGATCCCTCTGTTTCAATTTCTTCTTATTGCTGCTATTGCTGTTGTTTAGTACACTGTCAGAAGGGGTTTCTTTTTCGTTCTGCTGCGTCTTTGGCGACGCAACATCAGCAGCTGCTGATGCCTTGGCATCTGCAGCAGCAGGAGCGCTTACTAGCCATGCACTTCGGCCCTTGCTGCCAGGTAGTTGTGTTGCTGAGCGACCGAAGGCAATCTCTGATTTGCCCTTCTTCTTCTGCTTCTCCAGCAGCTCTAGCCACCACTGCCAGTGGGTCGATCTGTGCCACGCCGCAGTATCCTGCACGAGCTTCCTACGCGCGCTTGGATCGTCGGGCACAGCAGCAGCTGCTGAAGGAACGGGAGGAGGACGGGCCCGATGAGAAGAAAGTGCATGACGTTCAGGTGGTTGTCCGCTGGCCTGCGAAGAAGAACCTGGATGCAAACTTTTGCCACTCCTGGTAAGCTCATTAAGATGAGTGGAGGGCAGGAAACGTACACTTTGCGCAGGGCTTACCAACCCATGATGCCCTGAATACAGCGTCTTTGCAGAGCTCATGGCACTGAGTGTTGCCTTGGAAGATTCCCGCTGAGTTCCAGGTCCAGATCCTAGTCCAGGTCCAGCAGGTACAAAGCGACCAGTTGCTGCGGCCTGAAAGAGACGGGGACTGGAAGTGGATTGACTAGACGCCGGAGGTGCCAATCGCGACGAAAGTGGCCATGGTACTGAAGTACTGGATGGATGGGACTCGGCAATAGCCTGTGGCAGTGCCGCACGTTCAGTCAGACTGAGTGGGAAAAGTACATGGTATCCTTTCCTGTCTTTATTCATCGGGGATGTCACAGTGGCGATCGAGCTGGCAATGGCCAACTCATTATCAATCAGCACTGATGCCCGCCTTGAACTCAGATTTACCTCGTTGGTCTGTTTGAAAACAGAACCGCTGGCTGGAACTGGAACGGTTTGTTGTGTACTTGGTTCACCACTTTGTGGTAGGAGTGGCTTGGATGCTTGCGAGAACGCTATGCCGGGGTCCTCCGCTTGCTCCTTGTCAGTACTGTCCTCGGAATCCCGCCTTTTTGCACCGTACTTTGCGCTGATTGCTGCGGAATACTCTGCCGTTTTCGATGTTATGGGAGTTGCCAAGTTCACGCGGCTGAGTATAGGCGGCGGAATCAAGATATCAAGGAGGCCGTACCTGCTCATCCTGCTCAACGACTCTGGCGAAAAAGCGCTGGATTGGCCAATATTAAATGAAGGACTTCTATTGCAATCACTGTGCGCCATTGAGGGCTGCGTGTCACTTGGACATGGCTGGGATGCCTTGGCGGCCAGCAGATCATCGCTGGCGGTGGTGTTGTCGACAGGACCATCTTCAGCTGCATCAACCTTCCTTTGATTTTCTGATCCTCCTTCTCCCCTTCCTCCTCCTCCTCCTTCCCCCACCCTACCTCCTTCTCCCCCCCCTTCGGCTGTTACTGCCACTGTTCCTCCTCCTTCCCCTCCTCCTGGTATGGGTGCTGCTTTCCCTCCTCCTGCTCCTGTTGCCGCCGCTGGTGGCCTGGCATCGATCGATTGGCTTGCCTTGTGAGCCCTTCGCTCCGCAATGAGTTTGTTAGATGCCTCTCTGAGGATTTCTTCAAGATCGCGAGCTGTCCGCCAGTCGCCTGTGATTTCCAGTCTTCTCAGTTCAGCCTTTGCTTCTGCTCCTGGGCTGGCAAGGTCCTCTGTCACTGACCTTGTCGATGGATCCACTGGCGGCTCGTCATCGACGTCAGACAATGATGTTGAAGTGATGAGTTCAGCCATCCTTCTCCCAAACTCCTTAATTACTCTATCCGGTGCCTTGTTCCCATCAGCAGTTCCAAGCCTGGAAGATATCTCGACCGTTTTCCCCTCGCCCGACAACACGGCAAATTGTACGACATTGTCCTGAAATCTTTCTCCTGACAATGTTGTGTCGTCGCTAAGCAGTGCATTGAGTGACAGTGCTGAGTAGATTGAGATCGGGATTGAGATACCACTAATTTCTGATGAAAGGGGTAGTTCTCCTACATGACCATCTACGATAGGTTGCCCTCTGAATGCATCCTCCGTAGGAAGATCAAATGAAACAACTGCTTTGCCAACAGGAGAAACAGCTTCCCCATTATCGCCATTTCCCGAGTGGTAGAGCTGGCGGATCTTGGGTAGCCTGAGGCGCTTCCGTGCCATTGCATGTCCACGGCCATACCATTCTTCCAACCTGGTCTGATTTTCATCGGCATTTACAATCGTACAGCTGGGTCCAAAGCGGAAGTTCCGCAGAGACCATGACCATTGACCATCTTCTACCGTTTGCCTCCCTCCTCTTCTTCCTCCTCCTCCTCCTCCTCCTCCGTCTCCTGCTCCTCCTGGATCATCCGGTCCTCGCTCACCACGCAGCTCATTCTGTTCCATTGTTCCAGATCCCACCACCTTTTTATCGAAGCCTGCCATTCCACTGCCATGTGTATAGGGTGAGCCCAATTGCACATCTGCCTGCACATGTGTCAAGTCCAGGCGAGGGACAAGTGGATGTTGACGAGGCTTCCCGTCTTCCTGTTTGCTTGTTGATGGTAATGTCCACTTATTGGAACATGTCTCCACGCTGGCGCCACAACCGTCATCATGAAAGTGATAACCATTGGCAGTCGTCCACACAGGAGGTGAGAAGCTCTTGCCGTCCCTGGCTTCTTCACAACATTGATTATACTCGAGATACGGTAACCCCTCCGTATAAATGGCCTCCTTTCCTTCTTTCTCTGCCTCTTCAGTTACTTCTTCATCAGGTCCTACCTCTGTTTCGATTGACTGCTGTATTGCATTGAGTAATCGAATGATTTGCCAACGAATAGGATAGTATAGACTTAGCCGCAGTTTGGAACGGACTCGGGCTTTTTTTGAACGTGGCTTGGTTCCAGAGAAACCCAACTTTTCTGCTCTCGGACTCGCAGTTCTATTGAATCCAATAGCTTCCTTAGAGTCCTTACTACTCTCCACCATTGATTTGACACTTCGCTCAGCCTTATGTTGGCCTGGGGTTGCCGATGAGCCGAGCGTTGATTTTGACTCGATGGTTGCTGGTGATGTCAATATAGACTCTTCCATGGTCATCAATGCCGTCAACTCTCCTGCTGAAGTCGATAATGTTGTCCATGACATTGTCGGCTCTGCCGTTACAGAAGCAGATGCTTCGTATCTGATCTTGTTCCCATCCCCCTCCGCTGTCACCACGAGTCCACGGTCCTCCTTTGCATCGCGCAGCAGCTCTTTCCATGAGTGTCGGTTTATCATCAACTTGCCGGCGATTTGCACGATGCTTGAATGTCTCTTTCTTCTCTTCATCGTTGACAACCGCCGCCTCCACCAGCGAGCTTTTCTGTTATCTCTTCCCCTCAAACCCCTCGTCTTCATGTGAGCGTCCATCTTGGCCAAGAAGACAGTGTCCTCTTGAACATCTTCACGTTTGTGTTGCTTGAAGAGGGCTTTCTCTTCTACGTCGTCATCCTCTTCATCCTCTTCGCTCCCTTCTTCTCCCCCTTCTCCCATCTCCCTCATCAATCGCAACGTCTCCGTCTCGACAATACTCGCTTTGGAATGTTTGCTACCCGACAATCGCTGCCAGTACTGTTGCATCTTCTCTTTCAGTTTCCTAAAATGGTAACTCTCCTTTGTGCCTATCTTTAACATCTTCTTCCTGCGTTTCAGCCACCATCTCACTCTCTGACAGCTGAACTGTTGAATAGACCGCTGTTGTTTCTCCGACAAGATGTCACAGAAAATTCGGCCATCGATCATTATGACCTGGACTACAGTTCCTGCGATGATGGTGGATGGCTCTGGAACACTGCAAAGCACAGAGTAATCTCCAAAAGTCGACCAAGGCCCAACTACGGCAAGCTGAAGAACCTTCCGGAATTGCTTTTCACCATTCCTTCTACTCGCCTTCCAATTCCCTCCTCCTCTTCCTCCTCCCCAACCTCCAGCGCCTGGGGTTTGATGCGATGCACAAGAAAAGTCAAAGGAGATTCCTGGTCTTATGAATGGGTCACCAAGCGCAGGCTTTGAAAGTTCTGACGCTAAGCTAGCAGAGCCTCCCAAGACTACTCTTTGTGGTCCACCAAAGCTTCTATGTGTAAAACTCCCTACTCCCCCCCCTCCACCCATACTCCTAGCTGTAATACCCCCACCTGACCCACCTCCACCCATGCTTCTAGACGTATTAGCCCCTCCTCCTCCCCCTCCTGCTCCTCCTATGGTGGCCTTCCATGGCTGCTGATGCTGCGTACTAGATGAGTGCCTCCGCTTCTCCTCATGAGCTCCTCCGTCATCATTGTGTCTATGCTCTCTTGCTGTAGTCGCCCCGCTTGCCAATGGGGGCAGGAGGCCCACTTGTCGATCCGATGCTGTTGATATGTCCCCGTAATATCCGGAAGGGATAAGAACTCTGCACTCTCCAGATTTGATTATATACACACTGGATGGCGGGTCTCCTTGATGCACAATGATCGAGTGTCGAACATACGAACGATCAACGGCTGCTTCTGCCAGTTTCTGTATCTTCGATGACGGGCAATTCTGCAACAATGGCACCTGCTGAAGGAACTCTACTGTTGACTCTAATTCCTTCTTGGATAGTCGATCGATCATTGCATCATAGTCCTTCTTCAGCAGCACCAGAAGATCTAAGGGTTCCAGGGCAATCACAGTGCCTGTCCTGTTGACAACAACAACAAAGCCGATCGGATAATTTCATGAGGATATGGAAACATTAAAAAGTTGAAAACCAAACACATACCAGTATATGTCAATACAAAAATGCAACTACTCAGTCAAATAGGATGATTACGAATTTACGATCAAGCTCAGTTGGTACGCCTACAGACTGTTGACATGCAGACCCGAGTTCGAATTCCATTGCAATCAGATGAGTTAAACCAGGGCTGGTCCCCGGATGGACCGGGCCCCCCTCCCCCGACTGGGGTCCTCCCAGTTGGACCGGCCGGTGGACTGGGCCGGTTCCCTCCCGGTCGACCCCAGCGCATTTTTGCTGGGGGTTGAATTTTTTTTTTGGGCAGCGCGGTGGTGTGTGGGAGGCCTTATGGAGGCAGGCCCTGCCCCGCAATTCCAAAACCGGGTCCCGCAGGCCTGTTTCCTGTGAGTCCAAAAAGCAGCCGATCTTGGCCGCCTATCATCACAGATCAGCAGCAAAGATCGGCCGCCTTTTTGAACCCGTTTGGGCGGGAACCGCGCAGTGGTGCAAACACGCGGCAGGGGAAAATGCATCGCGCGTCCAACCCCTGTTCACCCCTTGCAGACGACGATGCCCCTCCGCGCGATGCGCTTTCCCCCGCCATCGCCACGGCCATCAACCTGCGCCAGCCAGCTACGCCATCAAGCACCCTGCCAGCCATCAACCGCCAGCCAGCATCACCATCAAGCCCCCCGCAAACAAGCCACGCCAGCGCCCCCTGTGAAGAAGGTTTGTGCCCCCCTGTCCTTCTTCTTCTTCTTCGTCGTCTTCTTCTTCTTCTTTCTACTTCTTCTTCGTCGTCGTTCAACTTCTTCGATGTCTGCTCATCTTCGTGTCCTTCTTCTTCTTCTTCCTCTCGTCTCTTCTTCGACTCCTGGTCTGCTTCTCTTCTCCTCCTCATCCTCTTCTTCTTCTTCTTCGACTTCTTTAACTCTTCTGTTCCCCCCTCCTCCTCCTCTTCTTCGTCTCCTCTCTCGTCTCTTCTTCCTCCCCTCGTCCTCTTCATCTTCTTTGTCCTCTCCCCTCCTTTTCTTCGCCTTCT